ACGACGACAACAACAACAACAAAAAAAAAACAACAACAACAACAACAACAACAACAACAACAACAACACAAACAAAAACAACAACAACAACAACAACAACAACAACAACAACAACAACAACAACAACAACAACATCAACATCAACATCAGCAACAACAACAACAACAACAACAACAACAACAACAACAACAACAACACCAACGCCACCAACAACACCACCACCACCACCACCACCACCACCACCAACAACAACAACAACAACAACAACAACAACAACAGCAGCAACAACAACAGCAGCGGCAAGGGCAACGGCCACGGCCACGGCAACAGCAACAACACACAACAGACAACACACAACAGACAACAAACAACAAACAACAAACAACAAACGGCAAACAACAAACAACAACCGACATACAACAACCAACAACCAACGGCCAACAACCAACCACCACCACCACCACCGCCACCACCACCACCACCACCGCCACCACCACCACCACCACCACAACAACAACCACAACCACAACCACGACAACGATGACGACAGGGGCCGTGCTAGTAAAGCATGAAAGACAGCATAACAGCCCTAGCAGCATTGGTAGGTTTGGAACACTTATGTGAGGCTGGTGATGATGATGGTGATGATATATGATGATGATGATGATGATGATGCTGCGTACAGGAACAATGTCCTCATTGAGTTCGATGCAAACAACACCACAACCACGAGAAAGGACTATGTCATTTCTGTCTGATGCCGGGCATGTCGACACTGTCTTCTTGATCCAAGATGCATGTAATCCTGCATCTTCTGAATTGCACGGGCAAGATCTTCCTGTCAGGCCGCAGAAGATGTGATAAGCATTTCAGGGCCTAACTGGCAAAGTTCCTAAACACGTTTCAGGGCCTAGCAGCTCCGGATTTGTTCTGTTGGGATCAGCTAAGACTTAGGTGATGCCAGTCCCAGCCCATGAGGGCTGCGGGACTCTGGTGTCGAGCCGCATGGAGCCTTCTTAGGCAGGAAGTTGGCACATCATAAGCTCATCGTCTCGCCCCTCCAGCCCCGCAATCCCCGGAGCATACGCAGCTCTTGCGCTAGAACCGCTGCCTCCGACACAAGACACTTAGGGCTGAAAAAACTCTCAACACCAGCAGTTATCAAAGCTCAGCAAGAAGAGACCTTGCCCCAAGTCAGAATGCCAACCCCTGAAGCGCTCCAAACAGCCACAAGGAAAAACAAACACATCGCCCCTCGGAGTGTAGGTCCTCCTGCTCCGTAGCCTTAGGTTAGTCTGGTTTGAATTTACGGCTTTTGGGCTTTCGGATTTCGGCTCTTTCGAGTGGAGTCAGAGGGACTCCCAGATCTTTGTGTGAGAATCTGGACAAGCGGAAGAGGGAAGGGGAGTATGTCATATTATAACCCATAAGGGGGATACAGAATTATCTAGGGACTGAAAAGGAATTCTGTAAGAACCTACCGGCTATGAGGGACTACTACTATCAGCTTACTCGAGCCACTTATTCAGGCTCCCTCCCTACACCCGATACATCCCAAAACCCCAAAAACACCGAAGCCTAAATCCAAAACCCAAGGCCGTAGGCCCTTCGGCTAGGGTCTTGCTCGGTACCTGGTTGTTTCGGGTTGGGTCCGGGGGGGCTCGGAGGTCGCACACTTGAGGCCCAGAAGCTCATAAGATCATCCTTCAAGGCTTTAAGGTTTACACGGAGTAGGGCGATTAGAATCAGGTCTTGGTGGATAGTTTCCCCTCTACACTGAAAAATAAGGCAATTTTATAAAGAGAGACCGTTTCAAATTATTCGAGCTCTTGATTCGGATTCTGAGGGTGCCGCGTCGTCGACAGCCTTCTCTTCCAAGACCCGCTTTAAGGGTGTGCCGTAGCCTCTTGGCTTTGCAGGTGGGGGGTTGTTCTGAATCAGGATGCCCTTTCAGTGAAAGGTTCGTGCCTGAACACCCTACGTCCTTTGGACCATGACTTAGCACAGTGCGCTTCATCTACGAGTGCCTGAAGTGATGACGGAACGGCGGAAGCTTTCAATTGGATTTGTACGTAGCTCAGAAATACAGCGCCGGCGCCTGAAGGTAACAAAGAGCTGGTTCGAGATGGACGGAGTGACCACCTCAACAGCCAGACAAGTTAAGGGCTTAGGGTGCGAAAGTTGCTATGCCATGTTACTTCGAACTGCAGGCAAGTTCAGGAGTAAATGACGGTGCCTCGATGGCGAAGGTGACGACGGAGGTTTCTGCCTCCGTTAGCGGGGCTGTCTAGAGTTTCATAAGGGGCCTATGGGCTTCACTGGATGTGTGTATGGGAACAAAAGCAGCGATGTTCCTAATACAGGGGCCTTAAGAATTAGAATAGGGTTTTGGGGTATATTATACGATAATTAGAATAAGGAACCCCAAAAACCCTATTCTAATTATTAAGGCCCCTACATTACATCTCACCCTCTCCGCCAAGCCGCAGGTTTGCTGGCAAAGACCTCCTGCGTCTCCGTGGCTGCTGCGGCCTGCAGGATTTTTGACTTTGAGATCTGGGGATGCTGGAAAGGATCCCAATAAAAACATCCTGCCTGATGTGCAAGTGTATAAGCACACAAGGAATCATATTGACGTGTATGCATGATGTGTATATATTGACATGGTATCAGGCAGTAGCAAAGATTGTTACGAACTACAGCGACGACTACACTACGACGAAAGCGACGACTACTGCTGCTGCTTTACATTTCTATTTTGCCGCTCTTTAACTTGGCACAGCACCTGGCGTCGCTTGCGCGAGGTGGGCTGATCGTTCTCTTTGTCGGCTGGCCCTGCCAGAGCTGATATCAAACAGCACAAGAGAATCTGGCAGTGGTGGGCGTTGGGCCTTTTAGCCTCACAGGCCACACCTCAAAGGCGAGAAAGGTTACATGGCACAGACGGGCAAGCCTCGTGAAAGCAAGCCCCAAGCCCCGAACGACGCGCCTTCGACAGCTTGTCAGTCGTCTTCGGCGTGGTCTCCTGTGATCAGGCGGACGCATGCATAGCAGCGGCAGAGACATCTCCGGTGGAGCGTCTTTCACACCCCTAGGCCCTAGACCGGAAGCCCCCAACCTCTAAGAAAATCAAGCCAGGCCTTTGCGTCGGACCTCTCTTTCGCCCGCGATGCCTGGGACGTTTCCACCGGCAGCTTTGCGAGCTCGGGTGTGGAGGTTCCGCTAAGTCACAGGGGCACAGAGACTAAGCTGACTGAGAAGCCGAAACAAGCTGAGCTTTGGCTTCATCAGCGTGTGTGCCAATCTACAAAGCCAGGGGGTTCCGGGTTGTTTCGGCGAGTGCAGAGAGCCGAACTGTCGGGATGTTGAACCCTGAATCCGGTGATGGAAGAATGGCTAGGAGGACACCGAGGGACATCACGCCTTCCGAGATAGACGATCTAAGAAGAGTAGCAAGTTGATGTCTTCGTAAACGCAACGGACTGCACCAATGTTGATGTTTTGGTCATGGTTCTCTAGTGTAGCACAGTTGTCTGCTCTGCGCAGGGCAAGTCCAGTACACGATACAGTCGGTTAGATCCAGCAGAGAAAAACATAACAAGACAACAAAACACAACGAGATCCTTCCAAACAACCAGAAACTCCGTGCGGACACTTCGCATTCCGCTTTAGACTCTGTTGGCAACACCTCACTACGCTGCTCGGAACATCACAACAGGCCTGTTGGTCCAAGTACTGGGTGCCGGGCACTTGTGGCGCGGGACGAGGTCGCCGTGCTCCTGAGTAGTTTGTAAAGTCTCATAGGTTGGCATCTGAGGGGCTTTCTTGTTGCTGAGAATAAACCCTAAACCCCAAACCCTATAATATGGTAAGCACGTCCGGTTGGCAGAATCTGGACTGAATGCCATCCTGACAGTTGCTGAGGGCGGGTCTCACGCTTCTTCTTGCCAACATCGTCACCTGCACATGGGTGAATCTAGGTAGCCCTACCCCCCAGGTACCTACTATATAGGGTACTAGAGCCCCTAGAGTCCTAGAGCCCCATATAGTAGGTATCTGGAGGGTTAGGGTAAGCTACCAAAGGGGCATTCTTTACGGGATCGTCACTGATCAGAAAGTCTGGCAAAAGCACGGTCAATTAAGGAATCCGTCTTGAGTTCGCAGGCCTCCGCCTGTTGCCTTTGCGCCATTTGGCGCCGGTCCTCCCCAACAGGAGTGGTTTGCGTAGCCCTAACCCTCCAAGTACCTACTATATAGGGCCCTAGGGGCTCTAGTACCCTATATAGTAGGTACCTGGGGGGTTTGCATAGCTTTTGTTATCGGTTATCAGCAACAGGCTTCCTGCATTTCAGAACACTCGAAGACGACAAGGTATGTGTACTGCGCAGGGCTATCTTGACACATCCCGGTACTTACTACTTCCTCAAACATGAGCAGGGCTGTGCAAAGCGATGGGCGAGAACAGTGCACGGCGGACCGCTCAAACACGTGTTTCCCTGTGTTTTCTCGAAACGCATCTGTGCAACCCACACAAGACGTTCTTTTCTTGCGGTCGCAGCCACCCTCTGACAACATTGACAAGACGGGTTTATTTCTGCGATGATTTTTGGTCAGCGAAGGGCATCTTGCAAGCAGATACAGCAGATTATTGCATAGTACTGCCTTAGGAATATCTCGTTTCTCGCTTCTCCGACCACGCACCGTGCGTACTCTAGCGTTTTCGGGCAGGGAGTGGAAACCTTGCCACGATTGCTGGCTACCAAGTGGTTGTCTTTGCTAAATAACCAAGTGTCGGCAAGCAAATTGGGGGCTGCTGCGGGGTTGGGTGCAAGTAAATAATAGTAAATATGTGTCTACATGTATCTGCTCTGATGTGTGTATATATATACATAGGTAGACAGCTAGGTATGTAGATTGACAGATAGAGCACGTCGGAATACAGGACAGTATTTTTCGAGTGCGACAAGGCTTGCTGGTGTGTTTCGAAGGATGTTTCGGGAGAAGGACTTATCACTAGGTGTAAATCCTGCATTTGATGACGGGCCCCCTCTGCAAAACATCCAAACTCTTCCCATAATTGGTAGGTGGGAAATCATGCAGTAAACTGTTGGGTTTCTGGGACCAAGCCACCCATTCAGAGCATGTGGGTTTGCCGCTGGGTCTGGGTCTATGAAAAAATCACAGTTTTTCCGGCTTACGACCTCATATTAAATCTTAGTAAGGTTTGTCACCCATCCTATCTTTTCCGTTTGTTCATCTCTCACACATCATTACCATCACAGGGTTCGGAGTTTGGGTTTGACACCCATCATCTCTTTGTATAGCTTGACATGCTTCTGACATAGGCAGGGTTTAAGCGGTTTGTTATCCGCTAGCTGCTGCCAAGCCTTGGGGTGCCGGGTATGCCACTCACTACCTCTCATGAAATTTTATATGGGATGCCTGGGAATCGGTTGCCACTCTTCGGGTTTAGGGTCTTTGGGGCTTGAGGTCTGGCACCCACCCTGCCCAATTTGGGGCGGTCGGAGCCCATTCACATGTTTGGGGTTTTGTGCTTGAGGGCTCATCATCTCCATCAGAGATACCGAGATCGACGATGCTGATCACGGCACCGACGACTTCCGTCACACTGTTCTTATCATCTGGCTAAAACTTTTCGAAGCTCGGCAGAACCCTGAAAAACCGGAGATTTCAAGCCGAAACGCCGAGGCCTCCTGTCTGTTCTGGCTCAGGCCCTGGCTTCTGCCTCCAGGGACAGAGTTACAGACGCTTGGGTTTGGGGTGTTCAGCTGGGCTAGGGATTTCAAGTCTTGCGGATGATGTCAGGGCATAATAATTGGAACAGGGCTTTGGGGTCTTTCATAGTAGAATCATAATAAAGAACTGTCAGAATAACATAAGTAATTAAATCAAGGCCCCTACATTATAGAAGCCCTAAACCCCTAAACCCCTTGTGAATCCCTGTATAGAACCCTTATGGAGCCCTTTAAAGGAACCC